AGGGGGAGAGACCTTGAGACCTCACCCAACTGCCTATAAAGTGTCTTGTCCACCTCTTCACCCTGGTTGGGTAGTGTGTAGCAGACTCCCATGATAGTATCAGTCTTATTGGCCTTCGCTTTTCTTCTGAGCTCTCAACCCTATCATCACCATCATTAATTTCAGTACATTCACATTCTTTCTTAACAGAGGGCTACACCACCACCTTCCCTGTGTTGCTTATCTCTTTGGAAAAGTTGGTAGCCACCCATCACAGCACTCCAGATGTGCGAGTCATTCCATCATGTTTCCATGATGGCGAATATATCATAGCTTTCCGACTGCAAAATGGCCTCCAGCTCAATGAATGTCAATGGGTGCAGTTTTTTTCTAGATGGAAGAATTCAGTGACACACTTTTTACTTCATACACGCTTCCATATTAGTTGCCATTTTGTCAGACTGCCCCTCTGTCATCTGTTGCATAGCAACAAAATGTAATGGAATATTAGCGGGAAGGTTTGACCTCTAATGCCATACTACTAACATCTGCATCTGACGCTGTGGACCAACATAATAAAATAGAGCACGTTATTTTTGGAGCAGCCCTTGTACATAACTGGCTGTTTACTTGGTTAGTCTGATCAAAAATACTAGTTGCTTTAAGTACTTATTCCCCCTTGTAGAAATGATTGTTGTGTAGTATTCATAATTTTAATAATCATTAATTCTTAACTAAATCAATTATTTCTGACTACTTTTAGAACTTTTATTGCATAGCTGTATGAACAGACATGATATTTCCCATTTTTGGTACAAGTGCGTTCATGAATCTGTACTTAAAAGCAAAAAAAAATTAGACTAAGACAAGCAGTTCTGTAAGAATTTTGTTGTTATTTGAAATGTTCTTATAAGCTTTATTCCTACTTAGTAACAAGTTTTTAAATTGAGTACATTATTATGAAATTATTTCTTTTTCGTCTGTCTACTACACTAATTGTATAAAAGTGACTAAGTCTTGAATATTTCTCAGTATAATGAAGTGCAGTTATTTGTTACTAATATATATTGATACTTTTGCCAAATTTATACAGTCCTGTCACGTAAGGTGTACGTCCTGCATGACAGAAGTGTTAATCTTGTTACCTCTACTACTGTAGGATGTCACTTGTCCAGGATGCTGGTCATTGCTTTTCTGTTCAATGTAATTTAATTCTGGAAAATTTGCTTGCTTTTTTGTGAATCTCTGCCTCCTTCACAGTCTTCAAAGATTCTTTTGTCATGTGATGTTCATCAGTAATTTCTGATGAAATGTTTGTTAGTTCAACAGTGTGTGTATGGACAGCATACTTTAAAAACTCAACATTATCATAATTTAAAAATCCACAAAACAGCAAGAAATCCCTGATGATTTGTAGCAAAAGATTTTCTTCTGACAAGCTTCCTTTTCTATATTAACAGGATTATTGCCATGTGTGGAGACTATTACATTGGTGGACGTCGCTTTGCTTCACTCTCAGACCTAATTGGTTATTACAGTCATGTGTCTTGTTTGCTGAAGGGGGAAAAACTATTCTTTCCAGTAGCACCTCCAGAGGCAAGTAATAAAATTCTAAGAAGTCATTTACTTGAATATTATTATCATTAATAATTGCTAATCTTACTTTTGATTATTCATAGTTTTCTGTGAAAAAAACATTGTAGAAAACTTCTCCAAATTCTAAAGTTGTCTCAGTGTCTGGTGAAGTATAAGGAATATATAACTGCATTCTTACTGATACAAAGTAATAATTAAAAAAATTAAATTTCTTTCCAGTGAAAGTCTAATGATAAAGCTGTTTATCAGGTACTGCAGTTATCTCTAAACGTAGTAATAGTGTTGTGTGTAAACTGAGGTAAATGAAAACGTGCAATTCTTGACTAGTAAAATGAACCACTGCACGGTAGTCAACCTCTATGCTAGGTTTTACACTAACTTACTAGAGTATTTCAAAATAATATTTCCATTTTTTAATATTCTCGACAAGATAATAAACTCTAGTGCTGTCACAGTCTTCAGCTGAATGGAGTATCACTGCATACAGAGGGGTTTCCTGAACTGGGGACATCCCGGAGGAGTGAAGAGACCTTCTAGGAGCCAGCAGCTCTTGTGAGAGTGGCTGACAAGGCTCGGGCAGGGCCAAGAGCAATGGTGGGAGGTCATAAACAGGATGTAATCACTACTAACAGTCACTTACCATGGCCATCAGTATGAGCCAGAATAGAGCAGGAGATTGTGGTGTACAGGGGTGTCCTCAAATGGGAAAATTTCAGAGAAGCATAGAGACCTGCCAGGAGTTGATAGTTCTTGTGAGAGCAGCTGATGAGGCTTGGGTGAGGTCAAGAGTAATGGCAGCCAACTGCCACTTGCATAGAAGGCAGCACTAGCAACCAGGGTGGGATGTGGCAGTCTGGGTGAAGCACAGGATGGTATTCAGTGAGGGCACTGTCTCTCTGCCACTTCAAATGGCAGTTGTAACATGCTTGCAAGGACCTCTAGTTATGGCATCTACCTTGCAGAAAGCTATGTCCTCTGTGTCCCCTGTGACCTCCGGATCTACAGGATCTGATGTAGCTATTCAGATTTCCCAAGGGACCATGCAGCCATCTGGGTTTCAGACTGAGTTTTCTGTCAGTATCTGATGGCAGCAGTGAGTACACCTGTGGGAGATGTGCCAAGGTAGAAGAACTGCTTGGCCTAGTGCCAGAGCTTCAGGAGGAGGCGGGCAGGCTGAGAAGCATCAGAGAGTCTTGAGAAGATGTACTGTCAAAATTGTACTCTACTAGCCCTGAGACAGATGAGTCAGCCAGCCATAATACAAGATATGAAGGATCCCCTACCCTTTTGCTACCAGGCAGAAGGAAGGTGACATTTTACAACAGGTATGAGGTTCTGGAACTTGATGGACAGTCAAACAATGATGTGGATTGATGTGAATGATGGTCCATCTAGGTTGGAGGGGTTGCCTAAGGCAAGGCAGACTGCCTCCCTGTATCATGACCACCACTGTCAAGGAAAAAAAAAAGAAAAGAGGGGTGTTACTGTCATAGGTGACTCCCAGGTGACTCCCTTCTGAGAGGAACAGAGAGCCTGATATGTTGACCATACCCAACCTATAGGGAAGTCTGCTGCCTCCTTGGGGACCAGGTAGATGATGTTACTCAAAAACTCACTAGCCTGGTATGGCCTTCTGATTATCCGTTATTGGTCTTTGTTGGCAGCAATGATGTAGTAAAGAGAAATCCAAAGGCCATTAAATATTTCTACACCAATGCATGCAGTATGAGGAATAAGCAAGGGGAGCTAGAAGTCTTGGCTCAGTCCTAGAGATATGAAATCATTGGTGTAAGCAAGACATGTAGGGAAGAGTCCAGTGAATGGCGATAGATAGGCAGGGCAAGTGAGGTGGGGTGCTGGTGCTATATGTAATGGAGTCTACTATAAGCCACCCATTCTGAATGACAATGCTGATTAATTATTCTTTACAATCATCATAGAGTTGTTTGAGTTGGAAGGAACCTTTGAAGTTCATCTACTCCAACTCCCTTGCAATGAACAGCAACATCTACAGCTAGATCAGGTTGCTCAGAACCTGTTCCAATCTGACCTCGAGGCTCTCCAGGGACAGGGTATCCACCACATCTCTGGGCAGTCTGTGCCAGTGCCTCACCACCCTCACTGTAAAAGAATTTTTCCTTATATCCAACCTAAATCTCCCCTCTTTAAGCTTGAAACCATTTCCCCTTGTTCTATCACCACAGACCCTGCTAAAGTCTGTCCCCTTCTTTCCTGCAGCTCCCCTTTAGATACTGACAGGCCTCTCTCAGGTCACCTCGCAGCCTTCTCTTCTCCAGGCTGAACAGCCCCAGCTCTCTCAGCCTGTCCTCATAGGGAAGGCGTTCCATCCCTGTGATCATTTTTGTGGCCCTCCTCTGGATGCACTCAAACAGCTCTATGTCTGTCCTGTACTGAGGACTCCACATCTGGATGCAGCACTCCAGGTGAGGCCTCACCAGCGCAGAGCAGGGGGGCAGGGTCACCTTCCTTGCCCTGCTGGCCACGCTGCTTTGGATGCAGCCCAGGATACGGTTGGCTTTCTGGGCTTTGAGGACACATTGCTGGCTCATGTCCAGCTCGCCATCCACCAGTACCCTCAAGTCCTTTTTTGGTGGAGCTGTGCTCAATCCTTTCATCCCCCAGCTTGTACTGATATTGGGGATTGGTGTGACCCTGGTGCATGACGTTGCACTTGGCCTTGTTGAACCTCATGAGGTTCACCTAGGCTCACTGCTCAAGCCTGTCTAGGTCTGGTCTGGATGGCATTGGATGATCCCTTGGTTTGTTCAGCCTATTGAAGAAGATACTGAGGGGCAACCTCATGGTGACCTACATCTTCCTCACGAAGGGGAGTGGAGGAGCAGGCATAGGTTCCTTTTCTCTGGTGACAGTGACAGGACTTGAGGGAATGGCATGGAGCTGTGTCAGGGGAGGGTCAAGTTGGGGATTAGGAAAAGGTTCTTCACTGAGAGGGTGGTTGCACACTGAAACAAACTCCCCAGGGCAACGGTCACGGCACCAAGCCTGCCAGAGTTTAATAAGTGTTTGGACAATGCTTGCAGAAATATGGTTTGAATTTTGGGTGGTCTTGTCTGGAGCCAGGAGTCAGTCTTTATGATTCTTATGGGTCCCTTCCAACTCAGGATATTCTATGATTATAGTTTATGTTATCTGTCATTGCTGCAAGGCTAGAAATAAAATGAGAGCTCTTAAATAAATTTAGGAATTAAAGATTCTTAGTTCTTACTATTTTTGACCATTTGAAAAGTTAAAACTTGCAAGTGGATACAAATGATAGTTACCAGTCCTTTGCCTCTGTATAGCATAATATTGGTGAGAGGTATTCTACACTAGAATCAAGGGGAAAAGTAATGTTTGCTCACTTCTTTTAAACTGCAGCCTGTGGAGGATAGAAGGAGAGTTCGAGCAATTCTACCATATACCAAAGTGCCAGAAACTGATGAAATAAGGTACGTTTTAATAATAGTTAAAAGCAAACTGAAATCTTAGTAAAATTATTTGTATTCATAAATACTGTATGTTTACCATGCAAATACTTTCCAATTGCATCCCAGACTTAGCACTGGGAGGTTCAAAGCATGATTCCTCTTTTTTTTTTTTCTTTTATAGGTTTTATTCTTGGCTTACTGTTTGTGTTGCTTAGTTTAGAAGCAAAATGCTAATTTCAAAGAGTTAAGTTTTTCCCCAATGGGCTAAGTTTTGTGTATGAGGGCTAGGCTTTTCCCCAAAATTGGCCTGTAAAATTAACTAGTAACAGATAAATCAAGCCAAACCAGTTTTGACCTCTAGAAATACAATGTGAGCATTGACTCTCTAATAAAATTGAGTATAGTACATTTAGTATCTGCTTGAACTAAGAAAAAAGTAGAGATGACAAAAAAACCAAAGCACTGCTAAAGGCCCTTTGCCTTTAAGTGTTCTAGTGTTCATTTTTTTTGCCTGTTTTTAAAAATTTGGTGACTGTTTTAAGTTCTCTGTACTTTTCTATACTTAACATGGAATAGTAATGATTCTGTCTTTCCTTCTCTGTGTAATCTTAAGAAGTTATTGAATTGCCAGACTCATACTACTTCTGTGAGCAGCTACTTATTTCCTTTCTAACACTGATCTCAGGAAATTCTTAGGGACTGTCTTTACTCCTTACTTCCCTTGCAATTTCATGATATATGCTATGTGAAAAGGATGGAAAACCAACAGTCCCATATCCCATAGAAGAGTATATGGTGGTCATTTTAAATTCATAGAATCATTAAGGTTGGAAAAGACCACTAATATCATCTAGTCAAACTGTCATCCCATCACCACTGTGCCTACTAAACCATGTCCTTCAGTGCCACATCTACCCTTTCCTTGAAAACCTCCAGGGATGGGGACTCCACTTCCCAGGGCAGCCTGTTCCAATGCCTCACTACTTGTTCTGAGAAGAAATTTTTCCTAGTATCCAATCTGTACCTCCCCGGTGCAACTTGAGGCCATTACTTCTCCTCTTGTCACTAGTTACCTGGGAGAAGAGGTGACTCCCACCTTGCTACAACCTCCTTTCAGGTAGTTCTAGAGAGCAATAAAGTCTCCCCTGAGCCTCCTCCCTCTTCAGATTAAGCAATCCCAGTTCTCTCAGCCATTCCTCATAAGAGTTGTCTTCCAGACCCTTCACCAGCTTCGTTGGCCTTCTTTGGTTGTGCTCCAGGTCCTCAGTTGTCAATGGTTTATGGGCTGGTTTGGCCCGGTTCTGTGACTAGCGGGGCAGGGACATTTCGCAAATCCACGCCTCTGGAAAAGGGAACAGGGGACCCCAAAATAATTAAAAACAGCGGCAACGATCTGAGGAGAAACAAACGAACTTACTAAATATAGTATCGGAATGCAAGATAACACACTATAATACAATATACTTAAAATTGAAGCTACTAAATCAAATATAATGAGAGTGTCTGAAAGGTGGATAGGCCGCACCATAATGCTGAGGTGAGATGTGCAGTCTGGTTGAGCAGCAGGGAGACAAAGAAGAGCGCATCAGGTGACCTTGCCAGGGGTTATATCTCCTCTCTGACCTCAAAGCCCCCTGGGGTATGTAGTTCTTCTTCTCTTCTGCACAGGTGCCCGGAACTGAAGCATTAACACTAACTCCCAGCGCACTACATGATGTTATGATGTGGAATACCAATAACCAAAAATCATAAAACCATGACATTCCACCCCTTATTCCACATCACTTCATCATGCTTAATATATACAAACAAACCATAATTACCAAAGCATTAAAAACACGCACACACAAACCTATATATATGCACATGGAATTACTGACTGCACACCCCCAACATCAAATTCCCTTGTGGTACACATTGAACATCCCCATTTTTCTGCATCAGCCACCAAGAGGATCCAGGTCCCTGGGCAAAAACAGTTCCACGAAGAGGTTTGCCCTTTCCAGAAGCTGGAAAGACCCAAACCGCTTTTCCCAACATGTTCTTTACATGTACTACAGGGACCTTATCTCCCTCTACAGTATGTAGGGACCTGGCAGGACCATCGCGATTGATAGATCCTCGAAGTGTTGACCAAGCAGGTGGCTTCTGCCAAATGCTTCTCCCAATTCTTAAATGTTCCACCACCCATTGCTTTCAACATGGTTTTTCACAACCCGTTGTATCATTCAGTTTTACCAGAAGACATGGAGACATAGCAGTCATTTTGTCAATCACATCTGCTGGAATGATACCCATCTTGCCATTTTACTCTGAGGAACTGAATTTCTTGGGCAGGTCCTTTCACTTGGTTCTGCTTAATAGAGAAACCACCATGCAGAGGAATTTGGATTATTCTCTCTCCTTTCTTAAAAATTTCCTCTGCTGTATCACCCCATACAACAATGTCATCAGTGTTCTGCAGGTGCTCGGGAGCACCACCCTCTTCCATTGATGTTTGGATGAACCTAACCCACGGCAAATGCTCGGGCTGGGTTTCCACCCCTGGGGCAAACTGTTCCAGGTGTATTGAACTTTCCTCCAGGTGAAGGCAAACTGTGGCCTACATTCTGTGGCCAAAGGAATGGAAAAGAAGGCATTAGCAATATCAGTGGTGGCATACCACTTGGCTGCTTTTGACTCCAGTTAATACTGGAGTTCTAACATGTCTGGCACAGCAGCACTCAGTGGGGGTGTGACTTCATTCAGGCCACGGTAGTCCACCATCAGCCTCCACTCTCCACTGGCTTTGTGCACTGGCCATATGGGGCTGTTAAAGGGTGAGTGAGTTTTGCTGATCACTCCTTGACTCTCTAGTTGATGAATCAACTTATGAATGGGGAGCAAGGAATCTCTGTTGGTGTGGTACTCTCTGGGCAGCCTGTTCCAGCACCTTACCACTCTCGTAGTAAAGAACTTCCCCCTGACATCCAACCTCAATCTTCCCTCCTTCAACTTAAAGCCATTTCCCCTTGTCTTGCTGTTATCTACCCTTTCAACGAGTTGATTCCCCTCTTGTTTATAGACTCTCTTTAGGTACTGGAAGGCTGCAATGAGGTCACCCTGCAGCCTTCTTTTCTCCAGGCTGAACAAGCCCAGTTCCCTCAGCCTGTCTTCGTAGGGGAGGTGCTCCAGCCCTCTGATACTATTGTGGCCCTCCTCTGGACCCTCTTCAACAGCTCTCTGTCTTTCTTGTATTGGGGGCTCCAGACCTGGACACAGTACTCCAGATGGGACCTCAAAAGGGCAGAGTAGAGAGGGACAATCACCTCCCTGTTCCTGCTGGCCACCCCTCTGCTGATGGAGCCCAGGATACCACTTGCTTTTCGAGCTGCAAGAGCACACTGCTGGCTCATGTTAAGTTTTTCATCCATCAGGACCCCCAGGTCCTTCTCTGCAGGGCTGCTCTCAAGGACTGCTCCTTCCAGTCTGTATTTATGCCTGAGATTCCTCCAGCCCAAGTGCCAATCGTTGCACTTTGCGGCATTGAACCTCATTAGATTCACCCAGGCTCACCTTTCAAGGCTGTTAAGGTCCCTCTGAATATATGCTACATACAGAAATACTGGAAATTTCCACTGCAAGAACACAATCTACCTCTCACAGATACTGAAAGGCTGCTATCAGTTCTCCCCTGGAATGCTCCAACAGCTCCATGTCTCTCCTGTACTGAGGACTCCAAATCTGGATGCAGCACTCCAGATGAGGCCTCACCAGCACAGTGTAGAGGGACAGAATGACCTCCCCTGCCTTGCTGGCCACGCTTTTTCTGATGCAGCCCAGGGTATGGTACGAGGACACATTGCTGGCTCATGTCCAGTGTGCCATCCACCAGTACCCCCAAAGTCTTTTTGGTGGGGCTGTGCTCTATCCTTACATCCCCCAGCTTGTATTGATATTGTAGTTTGCCATGATCCAGGTGCAGACCTTGCACTTGGATTTGTTGAACCTCAAGAGGTTCTCCTGGGCCCACTGCTCGAGCCTGCCTAGGTCTCTCTGAATGGCATCCCATCCCTGATGTGTTTCGACCACATCACTTGGCTTGGTGTCATCCACAACTTTCTGAGGGTGCACTCGATCCCACTATTGATGTCATTGATATTAAAGAGCATCGGTCCCAGTACTGAACCCTGAAGAACATCACTCACCGATTTCCATCCAGACATGGAGCCATTGACCACCACTCTCCATATGATCTTGCAACCAGTTCTTCATCCATTGAACCATCCACCTATCAAGTCCATATCTTTCTAATTTGGAGAGAAGGATATTGTGGGGGACTGTGTTAAAAGCCTTACTGAAGTCCAGGTAGATGACATCAGTGGCTCTTCCCTTGTCCATTGATGCAGTTTTGCCATCATAAAAGGCCACTAGGTTGGTCAGGCAATTTCAATCTGTCTTCCATGCAGTAAATTACTGTGTACCTCTTTGTAATAGAGCTGATGTAGAGTAGTCTTGCTGTTTATTGCCCATTGTTAGGATTTAGGTTTGTTAGTAGCTGAATTCATTCAAAGTATCTTCATTAGGCTTTTTTTTTTTGTTCTTGCTGTTTGCTTTGTGTTCAAATTAATGCCTTTTTTGTTACCCTCTCAAATGAAAGGCATCCCATGGAAAATTGCTATCTAATTTTGAATTGAACTTGTAGTCTATGAGATTCAGAACCTCATACCTATTTGCCTATACCACTAATGTACCATTTGTATTTATGCTCTTACTGTAACTAACTGCATGGCTTTTTTATCAACTATTTTTAACCTCTTTTTAATACTTGTACTGTTTAGGTCTTTTCATATAAAGACATATTCCACATGCTTTTATTATATAAAATTAGATTTTGATTAAAAGTATTATTTTCTTAACAAAGATTCCCTTAATAGCTTTTTACTGATGTTTAATATTTGATCTTTCTTGATAAAATAATATTATTATATTCTAATATTATTGTAGTGTTTGTTTTGTGTGTCCTTAGCACACTTCAAAGTTGACTGAAATAAAGTATTCATTAAATCCTAATTGTAAATCAAAGGATAAGTATTAATCTATCTCAGCTACCTTAACTGTGAGTGCATAGTGTGATTGGGATACAAATAAATGTATCGTCCTTTAGCAAAACATTTAAGGGAAACTGATAGAATTATACACAAGAATTCATTGTGTTCATTAAGCTTTATGTTAGAAGTACAATCATAACATAAATCTTACTGTAACTTTCCAGTTTCCTTAAAGGAGACATGTTTATTGTCCATAATGAATTGGAAGATGGCTGGATGTGGGTTACAAACCTACGGACAGATGAACAAGGTCTTATTGTAGAAGACCTGGTAGAAGAAGTTGTAAGTAATTTTATATTCAGATCTGTTACAGAACTGAGATTTATTTATTTTTAATTATTTTTTGTATGCAACTTAACACTGAAATAAATCCAAAACAGTGGTGTTTAACTTCTTGATTGTCAGTTATATACTTTTCTAAATCTTCCTTTAGTAATTGAATCTATCAATTTTAAAATACTGTAACAAACCTTTAAATATAATTCAGTATTCAATGTGCTTATTCACTTGTTGTCCAAACATGTTCATGTCCAAATGAACGATACTGTGAACTTACTAGACAGTATCCTAAACTCACTAGTACTAATAAAGAACCTGCTAGTCATTCAGTTCCTTTTTTTTTTTTTTTTTTCCATGAAATATTCCTGAACATATCACAGTGTGAAATTTCAGTCTATATGCCTTTGTCTTTAAAGGATCAAGCATGAGTTAAAAGTATATTGAGTTAATTATGACAAGAACAGTTTTCTAAAATAATGGAGTTTTGGCTGAATTTCCACTTAGTGAATGAAATAGAAAACCTCTTTACACAGAACTGTGAAATGTGACATTTAGTTAAAATATCTTTGACTTCTTAGTGTTGCCTATTTCTACAGAAGATCTTAAATGAGTTTACTTTTCTAAACTCAGGTGTACTCTTGTCATGCACTTAATATGTTAATTTTCTTATTAGGGAAGAGAAGAAGATCCCCACGAAGGCAAAATGTAAGGACTTTTTTTTTTTTGTTATTAAAGCAAATCATAAAATAATTGTAAACTTTAGCTATGAAGTTGGGAAGGTGAACCAAAGGTGTGTGGTTGGGTGTGGTGGTTTTTTTTTTTTTTTTAATTATTTTTAAGACTTCTGTATAAGCTATTGAAGATACAAGACTTAATGCCAATTAACTATGCATGTTAGTTATGCCAAATGGTAATGGGTTTTATGATGATAAAATCTTAGATGAGTCTGTGTGATCACTTTTATCCAGCATGTGTGTAAAGCAAACAAAGGTGATGACAGAGCCTTTATTTGAGATACAGGTGCCATAGAACAAGATATCAAAGAAAGAGGAAGGGGTATGGCTGTTTACAAGGGTGGATAATGATAGAACAAGGGGGAATGGTTTTAAACTAAGACAGGAGGTTTAGGTTAGATATTAGGAAGATGTTTTTCACACAGAGGGTGGTGACGCACTGGAACAGGTTGCCCAAGGAGGTTGTGGATGCCCCATCCCTGGAGGCATTCAAGGCCAGGCTGGATGTGGCTCTGGGCAGCCTGGTCTGGTGGTTGGCGACCCTGCACATAGCAGGGGGGTTGAAACTCAATGATCATTGTGGTCCTTTTCAACCCAGGCCATTCTATGATTCTATGAACTCACCCCTTCCAGCAACAGTTTGGAATAAAAAAGGTGAGCTGAGGAATGCAGCCTTCTCTGGTTCGAACTCTGGCACGCTGGAGAGGGGGGAAACCTGCACAGGCTTGGAATGCATACGCACACCTGGAAGCATGGCCAGAAGCACTGCTGAGACAGAGAGGAAGGATGGATCTAGGCTCCCGCCGCTCTGGGCACACGTGCTCACATCCTGGTTCAGTCTGTGACCTGGCAATTCCATTGCACTCCACCCCTTCACAGCATGTAGAATGTTAAGGCACTAAAAGCAATTATTGGCAGTCTTTTTCGTGATTCTGTCGGACCAGTACTTGACGTTTCTTCCCAAGGCATATCTTCTTCAAGGACCAGTAGCAGTTCTGGTTCATGTTCTTTACAGAGAGAGTGGTGAGGTGCCGGAACAGGCTGCCCAGGGAGGTTGTGGATGCCCCATCCCTAGAGGTGTTCAAGGCCAGATTGGATGGGGCCCTGGGCAGCCTGTTCTAGTATTAAATGTGGAGGTTGGTGGCCCTGCATGTGGCAGGGGGGTTAGAGATTCATGATCCTTGAGGTCCCTTCTAACCCTGGCCATTCTGTGATTCTGTGATTCATGCTCGCTAGTTCCCAAAAGTTCAGCAGTCCACCGTGAGGTGTCACAATGTTTCCTCGTGGACACTGGAGCATGCTGGAGTGATGTTCCTCCTTCCAGCTGTTCTGTGAACTTATAATCTCAAGGGGAGTAAAACAGATATTTAATAGGTACGAGGAGGGGTAGCTTTGCCCTCCACAGTAGGATACAGACCGTATTTCGGTCTTGAGTCAACACCTCAGCCTGTATTGGGGCATGTCCTGGTCTTCAGTACCACACCCTTTGGCCTGATATCTGTGGCAGGATTACTTTATCAGGTACCAAAGGGGGGGGGGGGGGATGTTCTAATTTGCCTCATGGACATGATTAATGTCCCCTTTGCAATGAAAACAGGAATGTCAACTACTACCCCTGCTGGCCATGCACCAATTACTGGATGGTTTACTGATACCCCAACCTCTAACAATCTCCTCCAAGGTGCAAGGAGACCACACCATTTTGGTCCTGCTTGCACCTTCCAAGGCCATTTTACCTTGTGTTTCCTGGGCTCTAGGTCCTCAGAGGCAGGGAGCAGAAGATTATTCATGGTGCCAACTCGTGCTTGAGCGAGGTGCCCTTGCCTGTAATTTGTATCCTAAGTGGGGAGGCCCAAGTTGTCTGCAACATTCTTAAAGCACTGGGTCTGCCATCCCTTGGTCTCTCATAGAATCATAGAATCACAAGGTTGGAAATGACCTATAAGATCATCTAGTCCAACCGTCTTCACACTGCCACAGCTACCACAAGCTACTAAACCATATCTTGCAGCTCCTCGTCCCGACGCCTCTTGAACACTGCCAGAGATGGCGACTCCACCACCTCCCTTGGCAGGCCATTCCAATGCCTGACCACTCTCTGAGAGAAAAAGTTCTTCCTTAAGTCTAACCTAAACCTCTTCTGGTACAACTTGCAGCCATTTCCCTGGGTCCTGTTTGTTGCCTGGGAGAAGAGGCCAAACCCCTCTTCACCACAACCTCCCTCCAGGAAGTTGTAGAGTGCAATGAGGTCTCCCCTGAGCCTCCTCTTCTCCAGACTAAACAATCCCAGCTCCCTCAGCCGCTCCTCATAGGACTTGTGCTCCAGACCCCTCACCAGTTTCATTGCCCTTCTCTGGACACGCTCCAGGGCCTCAATGTCTTTCCTGTAGTGAGGGGCCCAAAACTGAACACAATACTCGAGGTGCGGCCTCACCAGTGCTGAGTACAGGGGGATGATCACCTCCCTGCTCCTGCTGGCCACACCATTTCTAATGCAGGCCAGGATGCCATTGGCCCTCTTGGCCACCTGGGCACACTGTCAGCTCATGTTCAGCCGAGCATCAACCAACACCCCCAGGTTCCTTTCCTCTTCACAATCATCCAGCCACTCGTCCCCAAGCCTATAGCGCTGCATGGGGTTGTTGTGGCCAAAGTGCAGGACCCGGCACTTGGCCTTGTTGAACCTCATTCCATTCACCCCAGCCCAGCGATCCAGCTTATCTAAGTCCCTCTGAAGGGCCTCCCTACCCTCAGGCAGATCCACACCACCTCCCAGCTTGGTGTCTTCTGCAAACTTACTGAGGGTACACTCAATCCCCTCGTCTAGGTCATCAATAAAGATATTAAACAAGATGGGCCCCAGTACCGACCCCTGGGGGACACCACTTGAAACAGGTCGCCAGCTGGACTTCGCTCCATTAACTACCACCCGTTGAGCACAGCCCTCCAGCCAGTTTTTTACCCAAAGGAGTGTGTACCTGATGCTGTGCGATCTCCCCCAAGATGATTTGCTCCATTACTTTCCCCGGTACCGAGGTCAGGCTGACAGGCCTATAGTTCCCCAGATCCTCCTTATGGCCCTTCTTGAAGATGGGAGTCACATCCGCAAGCCTCCAATCCTCTGGGACCTCTCCAGTTAACCAGGAGTGCTGATAGATTGCCAAGAGCGGCTCATCAATCACCCCCTCCAGCTCCCTCAGCACCCAAGGGTGTAGGCCATCCGGTCCCATGGACTTGTGACAGTCCAGATGGAGGAGGAGCTCTCTGAATGTCTCCACCTGAATCGCTGGGGGTGCTTTCTGAGTAGCGTCCCAGACTTCCAGATCAGGTCATAAAATGCCCAGAGGATAACTGGTCTGGCTATTAAAGGCAGATGTAAAGAAGGCATTGAGGACCTCAGCCTTCTCCTTGTCCTCAGTGGCCACATTCCCTGCTGCATCAAGTATAGGATGAGAATTGTCCTTGGTTCTTCTTTTGCCGTTGATATATTTATAAAAGGATTTTTTATTGTCTTTTACTGCAGTGGCCAATCTGAGTTCAAGTTGGGCTTTTGCCTTCCTAACTTCCTCCCTGGATACCTTAGCTACTTCCTTGTAATCTCCCCAACTAGCCTGTCCCTTCTTCCAGAGGACGTAGACTCTCTTTTTCTCCCTGAGTCTCAACAGTAGTTCCCGGCTCATCCACACTGGTTGTCTACCCCTGCGGCTCACCTTATGGCACTCAGGGACAGCTTGTTCTTGCACCTTTAATATTTCCGTCTTGAGGAGCATCCAGGCTTCCTGGACCCCTTTACCCTTAAGAAGCGACGCCCAAGGGACCCATGCTACAAGTGCCCTGAACAGATCGAAGTCTGCCCTCTGGAAGTTCAAGAAAGTAGTTCTGCTGGTCGCTCTTTTGACACCTCCAAGAATAGAGAATTGTACAGTTCCATGGTAGCTCTGCCCAAGACGGTCCCCAACCTTCACTTCTCCCACCAGTCCTTCTCTGTTAGCGAAGATCAGGTCTAGCAGGGCACCACCCCTGGTAGGCTCTTCTACCAGTTGCATAAGGAAGCTATCTTCCATGCAGTCTAGAAACCTCCTGGACTGCTTCCTCCATGCTGTATTATACTTCCAACATATGTCGGGGAAGTTGAAGTCTCCCATGAGAACAAGTGCTGGCGATCGCGTGACTTCTGCGAGCTGCTCATAGAAAGCTTCATCCAACTCTTCATCCTGGTTAGGCGGTCTATAGCAGACCCCCACCAAGATGTCGCTACTACAGGCCTTCCCCCTGATCCTTACCCATAGACACTCAACTCTGTCATTACGAAGCCCAAGCTCTTCAACATCAAAACAGTCTTTGATATAAAGGGCCACACCACCACGCTTCTTTCCTTGTCTATCCCTTCTGAAGAGCTTGTAACCATCTATCACAGCACTCCAGTCATGGGAGTGGTCCCACCATGTTTCAGTAACAGCAACAAGGTCATAATTCGCCTGATTCACAATCACTTCTAACTCATCCTTCTTGTTGCTCATGCTGCGTGCATTGGTATAGATACACTTCAGTCGAGTCGTCTGCCTCCCCCCCAGCTTAATCATCGTTCTCTTAGGCTCATCTCTTGCGGGGCCTGGTTTGTCCCCTTCCCCCTTCCTAGCTAGTTTAAAGCTCTTTCTATAAGCCCCGCTAGCTCTTGCGCTAGTATTCGTTTCCCCCTTAGAGATAGGTGGGTTCCACAGACAGACAGCAGGCCAGGGGCCGAGTAAACCACCCCATGATCAAAGAATCCAAAGTTTCTGGCTCGACACCAGCCTCCGAGCCAATTATTCATTGCTCGTATTTTCCAATCCCGCTTGGTGTCCCTTACTGCCCCCCCTGAAGGTATAGAGCAGAAGATCACTTCTGCTCCCGCTCCTTGAACTAAACGCCCTAAATCCCTGAAATCTTTTTTCATAGTTCGTAGATTTGTCTGAGCAATTTCATCACTGC